ATATATATATATATATATATATAAACACGTTGTACTGAACGGGGGTGAGAATAGCTTGAGCTGCTCCATCCCTTTGTGTGTATTTATACCTCAATAAACCTATTTGAATTTCAATGAGCTGGGATATGAGGACGGATGGTGGGAAGGAGGTCCGTGAGCTCCTTGTATCATCGGGAATCAGATACCGACGTTGCAAGAAGCAAGGCTGTTGCTCGGTCGAACAGTGCAAGTGGATGGATTGGAGTATGTCAGAGATAAGCGTCAGAGGTGCTCAGAGATAAGCGTCAGAGGTGCTCAGAGATTAGCGTCAGAGGTGCTGAGAGATAAGCGTCAGAGGTGCTGAGAGATAAGCGTCAGAGGTGCTGAGAGATAAGCGTCAGAGGTGGCTCAGAGATAAGCGTCAGAGGTGCTCAGACATAAGCGTCAGAGGTGTTCAGAGATAAGCGTCAGAGGTGCTCAGAGATAAGCGTCAGAGGTGCTTAGAGATAAGCGTCAGAGGTGCTCAGAGATAAGCGTCAGAGGTGCTGAGAGATAAGCGTCAGAGGTGCTCAGAGATAAGCGTCAGAGGTGCTGAGAGATAAGCGTCAGAGGTGGCTCAGAGATAAGCGTCAGAGGTGCTGAGAGATAAGCGTCAGAGGTGCTCAAAGATAAGCGTCAGAGGTGTTCAAAGATAAGCGTCAGAGGTGCTCAGAGATAAGCGTCAGAGGTGCTTAGAGATAAGCGTCAGAGGTGCTCAGAGATAAGCGTCAGAGGTGCTCAGAGATAAGCGTCAGAGGTGCTTAGAGATAAGCGTTAGAGGTGCTCAGAGATAAGCGTCAGAGGTGCTTAGAGATAAGCGTTAGAGGTGCTCAGAGATAAGCGTCAGAGATGCTCTGTATCGAAATTAAGGTTCAATTAATTTAATTTTTGTCGTGGGCTTTGATCGTAATCTATGTATCAAGATACTAAGGTTATTTTGATGGTGTTATCCCCCTATCTATCTTGAGGTTATCCTGAGATATTTTCGGGGCTTTAGTGTCCCCGCGGCCCGGTCCTCGACCAGGCCTCCACCCTCAGGAAACAGCCCGTGACAGCTGACTAACTCCCAGGTACCTATTTACTGCTAGATAACAGGGGCATCAGGGATGAAAGAAACTCTGCCCATAGTTTCTCGCCGGCGCCTGGGATCGAACCCTATTTCCTGTCAGTGTCTGGTGGGTGACGCTGTAATAGACAGTGAAGGCGGCCCCATCAACTCTAGTCGACGCTCGACTGCACAGAACACCATCAACTCTAGTCGACGCTCGACTGCACAGAACACCATCGACTCTAGTCGACGCTCGACTGCACAGAACACCATCGACACTAGTCGACGCTCGACTGCACAGAACACCATCGACTCTAGTCGACGCTCGACTGCACAGAACACACCATCGACTCTAGTCGACGCTCGACTGCACAGAACACCATCGACACTAGTCGACGCTCGACTGCACAGAACACCATCGACTCTAGTCGACGCTCGACTGCACAGAACACCATCGACACTAGTCGACGCTCGACTGCACAGAACACCATCGACTCTAGTCGACGCTCGACTGCACAGAACACCATCGACTCTAGTCGACGCTCGACTGCACAGAACACCATTGACTCTAGTCGACGCTTGACTGCACAGAACACCATCGACTCTAGTCGACGCTCGACTGCACAGAACACCATCGACTCTAGTCGACGCTTGTCTGCACAGAACACCATCGACTCTAGTCGACGCTCGACTGCACAGAACACCATCGACTCTAGTCGACGCTCGACTGCACAGAACACCTTAATAATATTATGTGTTGGTAGTGAGGGGACGCACGTGTCCCTACTGCTGGGGTGTGACTTCTCTAGTCTCTCCTTGTAACCTTTCCCCTTCAAGTCTCCATTCCCTGCGGGCTGCCTCGCGCTATGAGCTTTCTGCAACGTATGAAATGAAGCACAAAGAGAGGGAAGGGCACTGTTGGGGGCGTGGAGTGGGTGTCACTGTTGGGGGCGTGGAGTGGGTGGCACTGTTGGGGGCGTGGAGTGGGTGGCACTGTTGGGGACGTGGAGTGGGTGGCACTGTTGGGGGGCGTGGAGTGGGTGGCACTGTTGGGGGGCGTGGAGTGGGTGGCACTGTTGGGGGCGTGGAGTGGGTGGCACTGTTGGGGGCGTGGAGTGGGTGGCACTGTTGGGGACGTGGAGTGGGTGGCACTGTTGGGGCGTGGAGTGGGTGGCACTGTTGGGGGCGTGGTGTGGGTGGCACTGTTGGGGGCGTGGAGTGGGTGGCACTGTTGGGGGCGTGGAGTGGGTGGCACTGTTGGGGGCGTGGAGTGGGTGGCACTGTTGGGGGCGTGGAGTGGGTGGCACTGTTGGGGGCGTGGAGTGGGTGGCACTGTTGGGGGCGTGGAGTGGGTGGCACTGTTGGGGACGTGGAGTGGGTGGCACTGTTGGGGGCGTGGAGTGGGTGGCACTGTCGGACGTGCTATTATCTCACTGACTAAACCTTTCTAATCGTGTTTTTTCCTATTTTCACTACATAAATTTCTGGCTAACACGCGCGCACAATTCCCCCAAGAAGCAGGCCGTAGTAGCCTTTTAACTATAAGGTACCTGTATTTACTGCTAGGTGAAAAGGCGCATCAGTTGAAAGAAACTGCCCATTTGTGTCTGCCTCGGCTGGAAATCGAACCCGGGCTCTTAGGACTACGCCATTCCACACACACACACACACACACTCACACACACACACACACACACACACACACACACACACACACACACACACACACACACACACACACACACACACAAAGCAGGGAGTACCACCTCTGGCTGGAAGAAGGGGACACTTAGCCTCGGAGGAAACCACACATTACGCATTAGAAGGAATGTTTAGGTCCCCTCCAACACCTACTAAACACCTGCAACACACCACGTACTGCACACCTGCAACACACCACGTACTGCACACCTGCAACACACCACGTACTGCACACCTGCAACACACCACGTACTGCACACCTGCAACACTCCACGTACTGCACACCTGCAACACACCACGTACTGCACACCTGCAACAGCAACACACCACCTACACCAGCTCAACAAAGCTCCCTGAGAGAGGTAGTGGTGTTGAAGGTCACGCTCCGCACTCCAAACTTGGCCAACACATTCCCACTTCTGCACGGACCTCCTCTCCGCGCTCACACTCACGTAAGGCACACATGCACGCACACGCACAAGCACGCACACGCACAAGCACGCACACGCACAAGCACGCACGCACAAGCACGCACGCATAAGCACGCACGCACGTACGCACGCACGCACGCACGCACACACACACACACACACACACACACACACACACACACACACACACACACACACACACACACACACACACACATACCTTGGGGGCGAAGAAGAAGGGAGAGGGGGGACATGATAGGAACGTATAAGATACTCAGAGGAATTGACAGAGTGGACATAGACGAAATGTTCACACGGAATAGTAACAGAACGAGAGGACATGGATGGAAGCTTGAAACTCAGATGAGTCACAGAGATGTTAGGAAGTTTTCTTTTAGCGTGAGAGTAGTGGGGAAATGGAATGCACTTCAGGAACAGGTTGTGGAAGCAAATACTATTCATAATTTTAAAACCAGGTATGATAGGGAAATAGGACAGGAGTCATTGCTGTAAACAACCGATGCTCGAAAGGCGGGATCCAAGAGTCAATGCTCGATCCTGCAGACACAACTAGGTGAGTACAACTAGGTGAGTACATACCCAAAACCCACTCACCCACCATGTTTCCACGCGCGCGCACAACCCATAGAGCCGGGACCAAACAGCTAAAGCACAACTAGGTGAGTACATAATAGTTAAGGATTGAGAGAGTGGAAATAGAGTAAATATTCACATTGAGTACCAATAGAACAAGAGGGCAAGGCTCATCTGTACACAGTTGAGTCATAGAGATGTTAGACAGTGTTCATTTAACGTAAGAGTAGTGGAGAAATGGAATGAACTCTTCTACTATCTCTTTTTCCCTCCTTTTCCCTACTTTAACGTCGTTCAGTAATAAACTGAGAGCTTCCCCTAACACACCAAAGAAAGTCTTCAGAGCCTGAAGATCTTCAATACACGTGACCAATATGTGTTGTACATATATAACCCATATGTGCTGATCTGTCACATATGCTGCAGTTCCACTCTGGATAGTTCCTACATGTGGCAATGATCCTCCTGTACTCCAGGGAAGGCTGAAGTGCCTACAGAGCCTCAATGAATGCTTCATGTATACTTTACCTCATAAATTTCTGTGTTTGCAAGTCCTTAAAATTCCATAATGTTCTCGCATATCTAAAAGATGTTTCGTATAATCTTGCAAAAGGTTAAGAAATGTTGCAAATAGCCAATTAACACTAATGGTCTTGACTCTCGTGCCTAAGATCACATTTCCTTAATGTGCCATAAATATTGTCAATTTTTATCCCACGATTCCCTTATAAATACTACAGATTTTGTTGTAATAAACAGTTCTTCATGAAATGTAAGGGAGGTTCTGGGGAACCTTTTACCCTCAGTGTTGTGGGTGGACATGACCTCCTTAGTGTTGTGGGTGGACATGACCTCCTTAGTGTTGTGGGTGGACATGACTTCCTTAGTGTTGTGGGTGGACATGACCTCCTTAGTGTTGTGGGTGGACATGACTTCCTCAGTGTTGTGGGTGGACATGACCTCCTTAGTGTTGTGGGTGGACATGACTTCCTCAGTGTTGTGGGTGGACATGACTTCCTCAGTGTTGTGGGTGGACATGACCTCCTTAGTGTTGTGGGTGGACATGACCTCCTTAGTGTTGTGGGTGGACATGACTTCCTCAGTGTTGTGGGTGGACATGACTTCCTCAGTGTTGTGGGTGGACATGACTTCCTCAGTGTTGTGGGTGATTATGTCTTCGTCAGTGTTTAGGACGGACGCAACAGTGTGTGTGTGTGTGTGTGTGTGTGTGTGTGTGTGTGTGTGTGTGTGTGTGTGTGTGTGTGTGTGTGTGTGTGTGTGTGTGTGTGTAGCTTGGGTTGTGCTCTAACTTGTGCTTTATGTGAAATTATTTTAATAACTTGTGCGCTGTGATGAAACTTTTCAACCTATTTTCATGAAAATTTCATCAGAATAGGTTGAAAACTTAACAAATTATGATTTAAGCTCCAAATGATATTTTAAGGTCTTCCCATTAAAAATGCAGCGAAAAAACTCATTATTACTACTAATGATATTACTAACGTCGTGTATACTTTAAAATGACGCGTATATATTCAATATGATTATTTAATTGCAATAAAACTTTCAAAATAAATGGGGAAGCGTTCTGTCAAATAAAGCTTAAAATGTAGCGAAAATACAAAATTGGCAAATTAAAAAAATAGGAAATGGTCCATTTTAGACGATTATAGAGTGTCCGAATTTGCAGTTTAATGGTTTGGTATTTTTCCCTTTGGGTCGAACGTGTTCTTAAAAGCAATGGTCTAATGTTGAGTGATTGACTAAAGTCAAATTTACTACAGGTTAATATTTTGGTTGATTAATGGAAGAATGTTAATGGTGTATTTGCGGGATAAAAGAAAGTTGTTGACAAGGACCTGCCTCGTTCTCCGGAGTTCCTAATCAACCAGTTTTTTAAATATATATCCAAGAAATCAGGTCGGAAAGGTGGGATTTCCTTCACTAGATTGTCAAATCTCTTCTGAAGAGAACAGGAACGCTTGTACAGCAGTTTGTGTTGCTGTGCGAACGCCGAGGCCCCCCGAGTCTGACAGGAAGGGAGGCTTTGACACCGAGTCATTGAGAGAAAGGTTAAGGGCTTCTTCTAACAATGATTTCAACTAGCTGTCGTACTCCCCTAGCTTAAGGCTATTGAAAGATGACAAACATTTAAGAAAGTAGTCAGCCAGGAAGAGGGACAAATATATATATATATATATATATATATATATATATATATATATATATATATATATATATATATATATATATATATATATAATATGTATATATATGTATATATATATAATAGGGGGATTCGTGCATGCATTCCCAAATAGTAGTATATTTAAATAATTATTGACATCTTGACATATAAAGAGCGTTTATAGTAGACATACCTGAGGAATATAGATTGGTTAAAAAGGCGGGGATTCAAGAGCTAATAGCTCGATTCTGCAGGCACAAATAGTAAACACACACACAAACATGACTGTGCCATGTTTGTCCAAAGACAGCAAGAATTAAAACAATGTGTGATGGAGCAGCTGTGGTATGCCAATGTTATCGATGTATGTTACATTGTTGTCTAGTGTTTGTAATGGACAGGACGCTGCTGGGAATACACTGAGAGGGTCACTGGACGGCGTGTGCACCCAGAGTATCTGGCATGTTGATAATGAAGACCGACCTGGTCAATCCTGCCTTTATAACGCAGGGTTCGTGTGCCCAAGATTACCCATCTTGTTGTTGATAGCTCACCATCGCTTGGCATTACATACTGGCGTCTGGCGTCGTGTGCCCAAGATTATCCATCTTGTTGTTGATAGCTCACCATCGCCTGGCATTACATACTGGCGTCTGGCGTCGTGTGCCCAAGATTACCCATCTTGTTTGATAGCTCACCATCGCTTGGCATTACATACTGGCGTCTGGCGTCGTGTGCCCAAGATTATCCATCTTGTTGTTGATAGCTCACCATCGCCTGGCATTACATACTGGCGTCTGGCGTCGTGTGCCCAAGATTATCCATCTTGTTGTTGATAGCTCACCATCGCCTGGCATTACATACTGGCGTCGTGTGCCTGTTGTTGATGCACTTGTAGCGGCGGGCAGCACCTGTCGACCCAACATCTGGCCGCTGCCGGCCTGCGGCACTTCAAGAATGCTTCAGTCAGCCTAGCCGCGGCGTTATTTTGTTTTATCCCACTAGTGGATTCTGGGCGTCACCTCCCGTCTCCTATTATCACGAGGAAGATTCTCGTGGGGCTGCTCTCCCGGATGTGCGATGGCCAGTCTCTGAGGCCGGGTGAATTCCGGAATATTAACAGGAAGTTGGTATCTGGGAGTCGAGAAAGGGTATTGTGGTAAGGTCTCGTGTTTGTAAGCGTCCAGCGGGATAAACACCTACGAATACAGTTGACCAGACCACACACTAGAAGGTGAAGGGACGACGACTTTGATTTTTGATTGTTGCCGCCGAAGGCGGCTAGTTTATTGTGCACCCCATACTCATCCTGTGAGCGGTAGCGCAAAAGCATTACAGAGGGCACAAAAGGTCTTTATGAGACCTCATCTTAGATTATTTCATAAACAATTTCATCTATCCTTCACACCTTATAGTTACAATGTCAGCTAGTTACAGAGAAAGTGCTATTTCAAGAGCTACATATTTACAATACGTTATCATACATTAATGGTAGG